CCATTTTGGGCCCATACGCGCCCGGAGCCCGTCGGAACAGGTCTCCAAAATGCATGCTCAGTCCAGATTTGTCTGCCCTGGGTTTTTTTATTTTGCACCCCATGTTGGTATATTTCCTTAACCCCCAGTAAACACTCCCCATGTTGGTCTGGGGAGTGTTTACTGCCGTTTCCAGACTCGGGGTTCCCTGTATTTGTTGTTTTATTGGCTCCACCTCCAACCAAGAGTTATTTAAGTGACATGTGTAGTCTCATCTTTACTGAGTAACTAGAAAAAGGGAGAACAATTAGATATATTTCGCTGGATCTGAAGCTTATCGAAGTCTAAGTATACGTGATTGCCATGTAACATAAAATCCATCAGGTTAGCACTACCCACACCAAGGGCCCCAACATTGTGCACCGACCATTGTGGGACACAAGATATGATTTACCAGAACCATTGGTGGGAGTATGCTGTGCATATACAGACTGTGTTTGTGGTGCTGCATAAACTACACAGGACTGAGAAATTACAGCAGCAGAGTTTATCATGTTAGCTATTATTTTACACTGTTTATGTTTATTTGCATTTGTGTGTTTACGGTAATTCAATATTATCTGCAATTATATATTTAATTTACCCTCTGTGTCTGAGAGTGGTTATTGAGAGTGGGATCCCGATATACTCCATGGGGTGGGTTTCTTCATCACTGAGTGAAGGCACCGATCTCCAGTGGAAACTCAAACTCCCTGTTAGCGTCAAAGTTAAATCTAGCCGCTGCTCATACTTGTCGTCTTCCAAATGCAGGTAAGGAAGGGGTTACATGTAGTAACATCTTGACATGCACAAATAAAAGTTAACAATTGCAGGAATATATAGAGCTATCCCAGTATGCTCATATAAACTAGATACTGTATCCATTCTAAATGTATCACTAAAAGTGTGACTTGTAGACATAAAATATTTTCAAAATGTATATATAGTGGTGAATAACGTTTGTGAACCTTTTGGCTTTTTGCATTCTTAAAGTACTTTGATAAAAAAATCTCATCAGATATTCGTCTAAATCTTAATAACATATATAATATTATTATTAAAACTTATGATGCAGTATTGTCGTAGTTATGTAAATCTTTTGACTTTGTAACTCATGACACATTTTCTATCAGGGATGAGTTCAAACAAACAATTTTGTATGGAATGTAACTGGTCAGCAATTATGTTACATGTGCAAAAAATATACTTTGAACCATTCCCCTGCATAGAATGACAATAAGACACATATAATTTGGCAGTCTTGTATAAACTGCTCATTTTAGGTCACAGTATTTCAGCTGATATAAAGTAATAACTTTGACTCAGATATTCCAGTATGATGGATTTCTCCGTTTCAGACACTATAATTGTAGATGTACCTTTTTTCCGAAGCACAAAGTGACAGTCTTCTGTAGAATTTGTTGTTACAATCCAAAATTCATTGTTGCCTCATTGATTGCATGTGTATGCTAAAAGGTTTCACTTTCTTCACATCTATCCACAGTGCATTCTTTCGAAAGCATTATCGATTATCCAAGTTGAACTTTAGATGGGAAGCAATGTTCTTATTCAAGAACAGTAGTTTCTTTCATGGTATGTTCTCACTCGAGCTAGTCTAGTTTAGTTTGTTCTGGGACTTATTCACTGATCAGTGCAAGAGATACATTATCTAGGACTCTTTGTGACCCATTAGGGTTGTGCACCTTTTTCTCTTGGAATGATTTTAATTGGATATATTTGTCTTGCATTCATAACAATGATGTTAAATTTCAACAATCTGTATTTCTGGCACTGTGTGATGAAAGCCAATGACTTTAAACATTTCTCAATTTATCAGCATCAACAATTTTAGGCCAGATTAACCGATTAGCCAGATTTAGGTTGAATGAGCTGATTAGTCAGATTTAGGTTAGATTAGCTGTGATAAATATACTTATTAGAAGTTCACACATTTTTTTTTTTCACCACGGTATTGACCGGACGCTGTAGCCATATACTGATCAGGGGTATATTTCTACTCACCATGGCTAAACTATCACTGGCCAGTGACTAGTGGAAGCTTTGAATCCTGTTGTAGCCATATTCAAACTCTATTCAAACACATATATCTCTATGTTAGCTCTCTAAGAACAACGCTGTTTATATGAATGTAATAACCAAGATCTGAAAATACAAATTTTTATTACCTAGAATATGATCCGCTAACACTATTCTAATACCGAAAATCTGACCTAAACAATACATACATCCAAGGTTAAATTGAATAAATTTGGTCATTTACCTTTTACAGGAATTGATAATCATTAAGAATGTGCCAAAAAAAAATATTTTATTGGCAGATGATGCAGTAAGATATACTTCGCAGATTTTGTATAAAGACTATATCCAATTTAGAAGCATGCTGTTGAATTCCTCCTGCTGATTGGCTATGATATATAGGGTAGGCAAAAACTCTGAGTAGTATTTGATGATTCAATAACTCCTCTTTAATTATTGAACCAATTTCAATGATATTACATACAATTAATGCTTAACATATGAAGATTTGTTTGATTAGATATGGAAAATGACTCAAGTTTGCGTGGTTTGTTCATGTATACCTGCTAGTTCAGATATCTCCCCAGGAAGTAATCAGGAGGTGTAAGGTCAGGCAAATGTGGCGGCCAATTACTCTGGGAATTTATTGAAATTATCCCTTCGCCAAACAGTTGTCTGAGGAGGTCCATTGTGGCCCTGGCTGTTTTGGTAGTAGCCCCATCCTGTTGAAACCACATTTCAGGAAAATTTTCCTCTTTGTGTCAAAATAATGGACCTGCCATTTTGAAAATTAAATTTCACTATTTTTACTCATTGTTCCTTTGTGAAATTACACATGATGAATCTCCCAACACTCAGTTATAATATGTACCTGCAAAAAAACAAACAAAAAAATTAACTACTAACAAATAAGTTATTTACCTGTCAAATCCTACTCAGAATAATGGTCCATCCTGAATTGTCTTTGCAAATCCATTTAACAATTTCTAACTAGTAGAGAAATCAGCAAAAGTGTCATTCTCACATTATTATGACTTTCTTGACAGTTGATATAAAAAGAAATATTACAAAGAGTCCTTCTCTATCACATATTTGTTATGTTCTAATGATTAATGTAAGATCTGTTTTAGTAACATGAATAATGTAAAAAGATTGGATCAATACTCCAGTTTTGCAGGTGCTTCATAGACCATATATTTAAGAATTTATACATTTGTTTGTTCCGTCAGACAATTATATATTCCATTAACCCCTTAAGGACGGCAGGGCGTACTATGCTGTCCTTGTCGACCCAGTCCTAAACGATTGCAATGGAGGGACTTACCTGGCATCCCAGGGAGTCCCCCTGCAGCCGATCCGGCCCTCCTGGGCCATGTGATCGCGATGACGATGATATCGTCAGTGAAAGGGCCATTTTTTGCTTTTTTCACACACAAACGTCATTTTCACTGATGATATCATTGTAGTGATATGTTTTGCTGTTTTGAAACACTAATATTTCTGTTCAGCGAAGTTTCCCGAATATAACAGTGCCTCCCATGTACAGGTTTTGGAGTGTTTTCAAAGGTCACAGAGTCAAATACAAGGCTTGCATTTCTGTTTTTTACATTGAAATTTGCCAGATTGGTTAAGTTGCCTTTGAGACCGTATGGTAGCCCAAGAATGAGAAGTGCCCCCATGATGGCATACCATTTACAAAAGTAGACCTCCCAAGGTATTACAAATGTGGTATGTCTAGTCTTTTTTAGTAGCCACTTAGTCACAAACACTGGCCAAAATTAGCGTTCAAATTAGTTTTTTGCATTTTTCACACACAAACAAATATGAGCGCTAACTTTGCCAACGTTGCCAACATTCTGGCATTCCTACAGGAGTCTTGTGATCAAAGATCCTATAGATCCAATTTTGGACTCTTTCTGTGTCAACAAACATTATATAAACTAAACCAGCATTATCTGTTAGACAACTGAAACCCTGCATTTTAACATGTTGGTACAAAAAAGCTTCAGAGGAAATATAGTAACCCCCATTTAAGCCTGTAACACATTAAAAAAATGATCTGGATGTACAAAAAGTGCCAACAACTACTTGGATTTTGTGTGAAATCAGTCGTCCATTGAACAGATTGTTTGGCATTTTGTTGTTAATTTTTATGCATGAAATTCTCTTTATATATAAATATTTCCCAAGACCTAAAAGTTATAATAGATTTGATGATTTGAATCATTATCGCAAAGCTGCATCATACGTTTCCCTAATAAATAACTAAATGTATTGTCTTTTATCCTTCAGCCTTTCATAACAGATTGCCATCACTGATCTCGCTCTATAAAAATGAAAAATTGGCAAGAATTATGTTTTATCATTTCAAATCTGTCACCCAAAAGTTATTTCTGACATTTTGAAGACTTGTCCTTTATAGGAATAAATTTCGTTTTTATTGCAGAGCTTAGCATTCAGAGTTGCTGTACGAATTGCTTTATGCTTACATCAGCTTTCCACTCATAAGGGAATGCTATAAACCTACAAGTAGAGCAATCATTGTCCTCATAGCTTTCAGATAATATAAAAGTATTGTGGAAGAGCAAGCCATACAATTCAATAAAGATATTTTTCGATCATTTCTTGATTTTCTTTTTTTTTTTTTTAGACTATGTTTGTTTGCTTTTTCATGGGCAATTTACAGATGTATTCGGGATATAAGATTTAGCTTTTTTTTTTTTATAACAACACGTATTCTTCAATCTTAGACAAAACTGCCTGTGTCTTCATTTGATTCTCTCTGGAACAGTGATGCCATCTCTGAAATACAAAATCAGCTTGGTACCTTCAAAAAGTATTTTGCTCCTCAGCATGTCTTTTTAAGAAATTGGATGATCAAAAGAATTTTCTCCATTTCCAGTTTGAGCTGTTCTTCTTCAATCGGGATCTTTCAGTCAAATGATAATTGTATTGCTCCTTCTACTTTCAACTACTTTCAACTATCCAAACTTCTGTTTGTACCTGTTCTGATTATCTGGTATCTGACCTTTGACTTGTGCTGCCTGCAGTGGTGTATTTTGGATTTGTGCTGCCCTAGGCACGACTAAATTCGGGCACCCCCAAAATCTAAATTTGCCCCCCCAATTTGTGTCAAGGCCATTTTTTTGACTGACAGACACATGCCCTCATTGATACATGCACTGATATACACTCACTGACAGATACACAGTCACTGGCACTCACATACAGTCATTGGCACACACTGTTTAACCAACACACACTTTCACTGACAGACACACACTGACACACCCACTCACAGCTATCCTAACTATAAGATAAGGCTAGGGACTAATGAAAGTATTTAGAAAATTGGGCAGACTAGATGGGCCGAATGGTTCTTATCTGCCGTCACATTCTATGTTTCTATGTTTCTCTGTTTCTCAATGACAGGCACACACTCAGATACACATAAAATGACATACACACACTGACACACACTCTCAGGCACACCCATTCTAACTCACAGACACACACTGACAGCTACACTAACTCACCCACAGTAAGGTGTACAGCCCCAGAACACTAGGCAAATAAGGCACTTGTCTGGGAGATTGAGGTGGAAATTTGTTAGGCGCCCCCCCTGAAAGTGCCGCCCTAGGCAAATGCTTTGTTTGCCTTGTGGTTAATACATCCCTGGCTGCCTGACCTATTGCCTGTCTGACTTCTACTGCCGTATCCTTATCCGTACCTTGCTGCCGACACTCTCTCAATTACTGCATTTGGGACTCAAACAGAAAACCTGTGCTGTCTGACCTGGCCTATTGCCTGCCTGACTACGTTTATGCTGTACCCCTATTTGTACCTCGCTGCGGACACTGTAAGCCAATGACTACTAAACCGGGACACCTTTCTTTTTTTCCATCCCCTTACTAGTTTTGTAGCTCTCCTCCATCTTTTCACTTCTGTAAAACTGGTACCCTAAATTATAATCACATATTTAAGGTGGGGTCTTACCATTGATTTATAAAAAAGGCTTAATTATATTTGGTTCACATGAATCGAAACCCCTTTTTTTACACGAAAGCACCTTACTAGCTTTTGCAACTGCAGACCGGCATTGCATACTGTTGCCTAATTTGGATTCTATCATTTTTCGCAACTCCTTTTCATTTAATGTTTTCCCGAACTCAATCCCATTTAATGTATAAGTGGCTTGCTGGTTCCTTATTCCAAAATGCATGACTTTACAACTATCTCTATTGAATCTCATCTGCCAGTTTATCCAAATCCCTCTGTAGAGAAGTTATATCATGTTCAGACTGTATTTTCTTACTTAGTTATGTGTCATCTTGTAACATAAACCTGCGATTAATGGATATCCTCTGATTCTTCCTCTGCATATTTCAACCGATAAAGCTCCCACATCCTCACCTGTACCATCACAGACAATTTCTTTAACACTGGCTTCAAATCAGGTTTCATGTAAAGATATCGCCTTTTTATATGCTTTTATATGTGATCAATTTTACATTTTAGTTTAGTTACAATTTCAGTGCCGTTTTGTCCTTTAATTGGTTTAACTGAATACACCAGTTTTCTTGCTTGTACCACTCTTCAAGTAAGGTGAGGTGTTTGTGTCGTTCGTTCTGCGCATACACAAACACTAGGAAATATACCGAGGTTATGGTTAATTATTAGAAAAGTGTTTACAAATGCTTTTCAAATTGTCTTAAGTGTTAAATTCACTAGTTAATGGATTGGAAGGATTTTAATCTACAACCCTTTTTTTCCCTATCTGATAATGGTAAAAGTACTCTCAAAGAATATCAGAATGTTGTTGTGGTGATTGATAATGGCTCATGGGTATCTGTTAACATGAATACAAATATCGCAAATATACACGAGATTGTAAACTATCCCATCATTTGATTTACAATACAATTACAATGATACACAAAATTATCTTTGTCTTCCTAATGAATTATCCCTATTTATTTTCCTCTAGCAAATGTGCTTTTTCACTTTCCTCTTCAGTATCCCACTTTTATCTGAAGCATTATATCTCTAATACTTAACTAATAACTTTTCAGCTTTATATTTTATCTTTATTTTTAATCAAAATTCTCCATTGTAACATATAGTTATACTATATTCATATACTATATTCCAAACTAGCCAATCACAAATCACCTTAGTTATATTTAACTTTTCACTACCCATATATATTCAATGCCACACTGCCGCTAACATCTTACAATTGTCATTTTTAATCAGTTAATTTTTCACTCCTGATATCACACATTTTCTTTCTCACTTATTGTTTCTTGGCTATTGCAAATTTACAATGTGGTATAAGGAGCAGGCAGTACCAGGGACTAAGGACAAAGAATGTCTTTTACAAATGAGATACATTAATATATTACAATATCTTTAAATATTTTACCGAAATGTGTAAATGACGGTAAAGAGTTCATGTAACAGAGGAACATTAAAAATAAGAAATGTATGTTTCTGTGGGTTTCCGTACACGTATTTTATGAACAAGACTGTTTGTCTGTCTGTAAAACAGCCATAGCAACCCGAAAAAGCCTACCATTCCAAAACACTGTCAGTCCAACAAAGTAGCTAATGTAAAACACAGCAATTCTCCATTATTTTGCATCTATCTATATATAAATTACTTCAACAGGGGTCCAGAGATGATTCATCTAAACTAGTTTAAAATTGCAGGCTTGATAAGAACATTGATTTTCATCTTACCCATCTCTTTCAAATTAGAAATGGCTCACAGTGGTTAGTCGCTAAGACTGAATTCTGATTGCAGCTGCTGAATATGTAGATACAACTGTGACCTTGTTTTTTTTTTATAAAGAAGGGAGATGGATTTAGTATGGGAGAGAGGTTATCATTGTATCTATCAAATTGCCAGCCTTGTGATAATTTCAGATAGGTTTGTTTTCTATAAACACAGGGAGGTCGATCACTGGTAGAAAATACTATGATTTTTGTTTTTAAGGCTTACCTTTCAAAACCTATGGGCAAAAAAATATAATAACAAAACATACTTAAAACAGGTCTTTTCTGTGCGCTGTGCTAAAACCAGCATGGGAAAAGGTATTTTTTAAAACACAGTTATACTTTTTGTGTCTTGTAAAAGTATATGCGTAGAGATTTATTTACAAAGTGTCCCTGCTGACATCAATGTATAGGAAAATAAGAAAGTAGAAATACACTGAGCTAACCTAGAGGGAGTTTGTGCAAAGTGTGCTCGGTGCTGTGTTATGGTTGTCCACACGACCTAACCAATCATAATGCAGGGAAATAGGCTTCCTGCAAGGTCATTTTTTTCTAGTAAGACTTCGTAATGGCTGAAGGATCTACATTATTTTCTCCTCCATCTTTTCACTTTGTTTTGTTTTCTTTTTATTAGTATTACTTTAACAGACGTAGAGGAGAAGTCCTGCAAGCGTGAGTTGGCCGTACAGGTGCGAGCAGCGGACAGTAGAAGGTCATAGGCAGAGTGGAGAGGCCGAGAAGGGGCATGCCTATGGATCTGTGAAGAGATATAAGAGGGGCTAGAATTGTTCAATGCTTTGTAAGTATGGGTTAGCACTTTGAATTGACTCCTATAGGATACAGGAAGCCAATGTAAGGACTGACAGAGGGGTGAGGTGTGAGAGGACCAACTAGAGAGGAAAATCAGTCTGCTGGCAGCATTCATTACAGACTGTAGCGAGGCAATATAGCTTTTGGGAAGACCAATTAGGAGAGGTTTACAATAATCCATGCAGGAAATTACTAGAGCATGGACAAGCTCCTTGGTAGCATCTTGCGAAAGAAAGGGTCGGATGCGGACTAAGTTTTTAAGATGTAATCTACAAGATTTGGCAACATACTGGATGGGAGGCTCAAAGGTGAGGCCAGAATCAAGTATGATGCCAAGACAGAGCGCTTGCAAGGATGGACTTATGTGGATACCACTAACTTGATTCGAGACCGAAAGAGGAGGATCAGGATTAGTAGGAGGAAAGACAAGGAGCTCAGTTTTAGAGAGATTGCGCTTCAGAAAGCAGGAGAGCATCCAGTCATAGATGGAAGAAAGGCAAGCAGTGACACGTTGCAGGACGGAAGGGGAGAGGTCCGTGGAGGAGAGATATATCTGGGTGTCATCAGCATACAGGTGGTAATGGAATCCAAATAAGGGAATACGTTTGCCAAGAGAGGCAGTATAAAGAGAAAATAGAGTAAAAATGACAGTATCATTAGAAAAGGAGACTCTGAATGAGCATTGGGAGAGATAAGAGGAAAACCATGAGAGGACAGAGTCACAGAGAACGAGTGATTGGAGAGTTTGAAGAAGGAGAGCATGATCAATGGTGTCAAAGGCAGCAGAGAGGTCAAGAAGAATTAGTATGGAGTAGTGGCCTTTGGATTTAGCTGCGATTAGTTCATTAGTAACTTTGATAAGAGCAGTCTCAGTAGGGTGGAGAGGGTGGAAGCCAGATTGAAGAGGGTCAAGAAGAGAGTTGGAATTGAAGAAGTGAGACATACGGGTAAAGACTATGGCCATCATTGACCAACCTGATCTCTAGATGGACAAATTCAGAGGCGGTCAAATTGCCTTTCAGGTCAGTCAGTATGTATGTAAGATGTGGGTTTGGGCCACTCACTTCTTAAACCTGGGCTTTTCCTAGGAACTACTTGGAGATCTGCTAATCATATTTGTAAAAATTCTGTATTTGTGATTTTATGCTTTTTTAATGTTGCACAGTCAACATTTTTTCTTTTGGAAATAGTTTTTTTTTCTCTTTGAAAAACGAACTTCAAAGAAATGTTCGTTTTTCTTTAAATGATAACGGAAAGCATGAAAAATCACAGGATATTCTATTTTAAGAGTACATGCAAAACAGCAGCAACTAGAATATATATATATATATATATATATATATATATATATATATATATATTTACTAGGGCTAGAATTAGTGTAATCATATCAAGGCTTCATCTCAGCTCGTTCCTGTGAGCATCGTTATCATGATTCTGCGGATGCGCCCAACCATTCTCTCTGCAGCCTCATGCCCTCCTGAAGCTCCCTCAGATGTAGCCACTGCGCATCTTACCCCTTATATGACTCCAGTCTCTCCTCCTTTGTTAATGACGCAACATTGATTGCATGATCATGCTGATGTTGCGTGCACAACCTTTAGTCACACGGGTGCAGCTAACCTATTACAGCCGTTCTAGGGGTATTTAAATATTTACTTGCCTTTCTATTGTGCCCTGCTATGGTTTTCCCTTTGTGATTATCAAAAAGCATGATTACCTATTTCTATTCATTGGCTTTTCGTACTTGTACCTTGACCATTATCCTTTCTAGTGTCCTTGACATTTGGCTTGTCTATCCATTCATGTTGCTTTCTATCTCCCTGACCTTGGCTTCTATCTGACTTGCGTTACGTTTGACCATTCTGAGGCACCCTAGTCCATTTATATTTACTTTTTTATTGTCATTAGTATTGTTGACTTAAGTTCTGTATGTTGGGTTGTAATGAGTTCCAACAAATAGTAAGCTTCGTATTAGGTTTAGAGTTAAGGTTAAATGTTTTTAACTCATCTCTGCTATATCCCAGCTGCTATCTGGGCTGCGAACTCCCACTAATCCCATGCATGTACAGTAAATCATAATGCTGCCCTTAGATTGGAAACCCCACAGTCAATCTATGCATTACAGGGCATAATATACATAGATCACCCACCATGTGGTATGGAATTATTATTATTATTATTATTATTATGATATTTATAGAGCGCCGTCAAATTCTGCAGCACTTTACAATGTGTGGACGAACAGACATGTAGTTGTAACCAGAAAAGTTGGACACACAGGAACAGAGGGGTCGAGGGCCCTGCTCAATGAGCTTACATGCTAGAGGGAGTGAGGTAAAATGACACAAAAAGGTAAGGATAGTATTAGACTAATGACAGTTGCAGAAGAGGAATCAGTCAGGAGCTATTAACAGTTTAATGGATACGCTTTTATGAAGAAGTGGGTTTTTAACGATTTTTTGAAGGAGTGGAGACTGGGTGAGCATCTAACGGAGGAGGGAAGCAAGTTCCACAGGAACGGTGCAGCCCTCGAGAAATCTTGAAGGCGAGCATCAGAGGTGGGAGTATGGACAGAAGATAGACGTAAGTCTTCAGCAGATCGTAAGGGCCTAGACGGGACATACTTGTGTATAAGGGAGGATAGATAGGTGGGAGCAGCATTATGTAGAGATTTGAAAGCAAGAACCAGAATTTTAAATTGAGCTTTATATTTTATAGGAAGCCAATGTAGGGATTGACAGAAGGGTGAGGAATGGGAGGTGCGTGCGGACAGGAAGATGAGCCTTGCCGCCGCATTCATTATGGACTGTAACGGCGCTAGTTGGGAGCACGTAAGACCACTGAGAAGCGGATTACAGTAGTCAAGGCGAGAAAGGACAGTGGAA